AAAAAAAAATCCTCTTACCTCAATTTCCCTGGTAGCTGGGACTACAGGTGCCTGCCATGATGTCTGGCTAGTTTTTACTATTTTTAGTAAAGATGGTGTCTTACTCTTGCTCAGGCTGGTCATGAACTCCTGAGCTCAAGCACTCCACACACAACCTCCCAGAGTGTTAGGATTACAGGTGTGAGCCACCTTATAATCACTGAATTCACCCAATCTGCTGAGGAAAGCACTATTAGCAATGTTTTGACAGCTGAGCCAACAGACACAGAGAACTCAAGCTACATGCCCAAGGTCACACAGCAAGTAAATGACAGGGAGGCTTGAGTTCAGTCTGTGTAACTTACATGAACCCCAGCCAAAGACTCTGAATGCTGTGACCAAGAAAGGTCCAGCACTCACAATGCCTTCATTTGCAGCTTCTGAGATGGCAGGTGGTCCCTAGAGGCTGCCTGCTGCTGTTCCAGGGATGGGGGTGGGGAGGAGATAAGGAGGAAGCCAGCTGTGTAAAGCTGGACCAGAGCCAGCTCCCTTCTCCCCAGCAGCTGCCAGTGCACAGCCTGGAGCCTCCACTCCTCTGCCTTTGCTAATTGCTAATTAGCTCCCTTGATATTGGAGGGGTGTGAGAGCAGGAAGAACAGCCATAACATACCACCCTATAAGAAGGCAGGTGCCCTGGCAGTGAGAGGGTCCTGCCAGTTGGAAAGGAATGGGCATCTCCTCAGGCTGAGAACTAAGTGCTCCATCTTATCAGATGGGGACTGGGCATGCACCCAAGGCCAGCAGGAACCACCAAGCTCAGAATTGGTGGGTCCCCCACTCCTGCACAGGTTTGGCCTATAAGGGGTTATCAGAGTAGGAGGAGTGTGTAAGCCTGGCTCTGGAGAATTGAGCTGCACCTCTGCCTTGTGTCCAGCACTGAACACATCTTGGCCCTCTCTAGGACTCAGCTTTCTCATCTGTAAATTGGAATGTCTGGCTTTGCTGATCTGGAAATATCTTTCTGGCTTTGAGAGTGGAAGGCTTTCTTTCTTTTTTTTCCTTAGAGGCTTTGAGAGTGGAAGCCTTTCTTTCTTTCTTTTTTACCTTAGGGCCTTCCTGCTCTGTTGTCCAGGCTCGTGTACAGTGGTGTGATCATAGCTCACTGCAGACTTGATCTACTGGACTCAAGTGATCCTCCTGCCTCAGCCTCTTAAGTAGCTGGGTCTGTAGGCATGAGCCACCAAGCCCAGCTAAATTTTTGTAGATGCTAGGGTCTCACCATGTTGCTCAAGGTTGTCTTGAACTCCTGGCCTCAAGAGATTCAGCCTCAGCCTCCCAAAATGCTGAGATTACAGGTGTGAGCCCCTATGCTTGGCCCAAGAGTTAATGGTTTTCAAGTCTGGATTTGAGAATTCTAGAATTCTCTGTTCCTACACATTCTGAGATTGTAAAATTCCAACATTCTATTTAAAATATTTAAGACATTGACGGCTCGGCCCAGTGGCTTATGCCTGTAATCCTAGCAATCTGGGAGGCCAATGCAGCAGGACTGCTTAAGCTAAGGAGTTTAAGCCCAACCCAAGCAACAGTGAGACCCCCCATCTTTACTGAAAAGAGAAAAATTAGTTGGACATTGTGGCAGGTGCCTGTAGTCCCACCTACTCAGGAGGTTGAGGCAAGAGGATCGCTAAAGCCCAAGAGTTTGAGATTGGTGTGAGCTATCATGCCAGCACTCTACCCAGTTTGACAGAGCAAGAGTCTGACTCCAAAAAAGAAAGAAAGAAAAGAAAGAGAGAGAAAAATTAGCCCGGCCTTGAGGCAAGAGATCACTTGAATCTAGGAGTTTGAGGTTGCTGTGAGCTAGGCTGATACCACAGTACTCTTGCCTGGGCAACAGAATGAGATTTTGTCTCAAAAAAAAAAAAAAAAAAAAAAAAAGGTGGCATCTGTGGCTCAAAGGAGTAAGGCACCAGCCCCATATGCCAGAGGTGGTGGGTTCAAACCCAGTCCTGGCCAAAAACTGCAAAAAAAAAAAAAAATATATATACACACACACACACACACACACATTCACACACATACTCTACCCAGGCAACATACTGAGACTCTGTCTCCAAAAATATATGAGTCCTATAGCACAGTGGTTATGGTACTGGCCACATACACCAAAGCTGGCAGGTTCGAAACTGGCCCAGGCCAGCTAAACAATGACAACTACAATAACAAAAATAGCCAGGCGTGTGGCGGGAGCCTGTAGTTCCAGGTACTTGGGAGGCTGAGGCAAGAGAATTGCTTAAGCCCAAGAGTTTGAGGTTGCTGTGAGCTGTGACACCACAGTACTCTACCAAGGGCAATGTAATAAGACTCTGTCGCAAAAAAAAAAAAAAAAAAAAGTTAACATTCTTGAGCTGGGAGGTGGCTGCAGAGGTGTACTCAGGTTGTGAAAGTCTACCTAGCTGGACACAATATATCTTGACAGAGTGAGACCATGTCTCAAAAAATAAAAAATAAAATAAATTAAAACATAAAGGGAGGCTCGGCGCCTGCGGCTCAAGTGGATACGGTGCCAGCCACATACACCTAAGGTGAATCCAGCCCAGACCCTCCAAACAACAATGATGGTTGCAACCAAAAAATAGCCAGGCATTGTGGCAGGCGCCTGTGGTCTCAGCTACTTGGGAGGC